AAGCCTTATGCATAAGTTTCATTTGGATAATCTATTTTGTAATAATTTATTTTACCACTGTTAAGTAACGCTGAGTTCCTTTTCCATAAATTGTTGTTCTATTGTCTCCATTGTGACACGACACAAGATATACATTTATACCGCGTGGCGCTATATATACGCATATATTATAAGGAAGATAGTATTTTTACTGGTGCATCGGCTATAAGCGAGAAGGAAGAGGTCAGTTTTCAACTCCCAATGCATAAGATTTTTTTCCGTATCTATTCGTATAAGTTTTCCACTCAAAAACTTTTGTAAAATCAAAAAAGGGAACATGTCAAACAATTCAGCACCCATCAGACTCCGCTCACAAAAAGGCCTTTTAAAGCAATGATGCGAGGAAGACAGCACATTAAAGAGGCTTTTCTTCAAGTTCCACTAGCGGCGATTTTGAACGCATAACTTCACTTGCGTATGAGCTGCAAGCTACAGCGCGATTACTTAGCGACCATCTAGCAACATTTGTGAGTACAGTTGATTCACTATCTGGTTCGCTCACCAAAGAACAAGAAGATCAGGCCGTAGAGTACATGGAAAACGCACATACCGCAATTGATCGCGCTGAGCGGCTAGCTATTGAACTTGAAGCCAAACGCATAAGTATACGGGAAGTAATGCACACCGATAGGACACCCGCACCGAGAACACAGGGGCAAGGATTAGGGCAGCACGAAACCAATCCACCGAAGCTCCCCACCATTCCCATCCCGAATTTTGATAAAAAATATGGGAATATGACAACTTCTGGACGCTTTTTCAAGATAGTGTTCACAACCAAACTCGCTCACTAAATTACGAAAATTCAACTATTTGTTGAGTGCGCTCCGGAGGGAAGCTTGTGAATTAATAAAGCGAGACCCAGTCACAGACGACAATTACATGTTGGCAATTGATCTCATGAAAAAGAAGTATGGCAACAAGGCGGAACTCGTGAGGGTACTACAGAAACGCCTAGAACGCGAAAGCAGACAAACCCTCGACCCAAGGGCAAAAGAAGCTGCTGGAATTTATTATTCCCTTGGTTATGCAGCTACACAAAATTCGAAGTGAATCTGTTGTGTTGTCGGTAGTACTTGTTATATTGTTGTGTGTCGAAGTTCACACCCAGATCCAACGCAAGGTTGCTCGAGACTTCACCAGATACACTCCTATCGCGTGGGTGGTGGAGGTGGCAGTTTTGAACATGGCACGGAACTGTGTAGGTCGTGGTAATATTCAACCTTATGACAACTTGTCATCTTTTCCTGTGTTCGGAGCAAGACACGGGAAGGAACAATTTGTGTCGGGATGTTAAATTATCTTACAGAGGTGACTCTCTCGGGTAGTTCAAGGATGCAGCCAGCACCTATCTTACATCTCGGATTTCGTGTATATGTCAGAAATGCAGGAAATGCGTAAAATTGTATGATAATGTTCAATTGATGTGCCGTGTGACGCACAGGGATACGACGGAGGAGCGCGATCATACAGTTATGGTGAGTATGTATCGTTCTGTCGAACATTCAAGAAGGAGCGAAGCTAATGAAGAGTGTTATCCACAAGTCGGGATGAAGGTGTGTGGGAGTTTGTTGTGTGAATCATGGATTAGAACAAACGAACCGCAGCTGGTTCTATGTGTTACGAGGGCACCGATGACTGTATTAAGACGGAATTTTTACAAAATCGGCTGCGGCTGAAGTGTGTGCGCGAAGGTCGACGTCATTAGGAGGGGGAGTTGCCCGCACAAAAGAGGATGTGGAAACTTTCAAGGCGAAGAAACATCTTTCACGCTTATGGGAAGGTAGGTTAGAGGAAATGTGTAGAGAGTAGTGAGATTGCTTAGGTTAACTTTCAGTTTGTTTTGGGGTGTTGCTGCCTCGCGTTCGATGAGAGAGCGCAACGAGCAGAGCCAGAGAAAGGATTTTGGAAGAATCAAGGAAATAGAGGATGACATCGAAGATTTGGAGACAACTCTGTACAACTTGGACGTGGAGAAGACATGCGATCCTCGTGATTTCAAGAAGGGAGTTATACGCAGGAAAGAAGATCTGACGGTTCCTTGCGTATTCTGTGGGAGAGTGGGAGACCACACTCCGACTCATGTGCCATATATTCGGATTACTGGGAGAGAAATCATATTGTCAACGCAGAGAATCGTTGCAGAATCTGCTCTCAGAACTAACTTTGACGAGCATACTTGCAGGAGGATAACAGCATGCTTCCATTGCAAAAAACATGGACATCATTCTGCATTATGCGACTTACCGGAGAGGAGCAAAGAAATACGTCGTCGGTACGAGGAAGCCACGAGGAAAAGGAGGGAGGCAAAGAGGAGGTTTGGAGGAGCTGAAGGCAACTACAGGAACTGGAGGAATAGTGATCCATGGTTATTACATTTTGTTGATCTGTTCTGTAATGAGTTTTTTTACGCATCACGATTATTTTTCAGGCCGGGCCAGAAGTATTGCAACTCTGGGTTGCAGGTTTACAAGTCAAGTTGGGGCTGCTCTACAGGTCAGCGCAGGTTAGCCTTTCCTTATCTTCTATTTAGCTTCTTGCATCTTCAGGAGTTCCACCGTTATTTATGCAGTTTTCTTAGCTATTCGTATTTACCACCATGTTTCCATTTCGTATCGTAGTTATTAGCCAACCGTAGTTATTCACAGTTTCCACCCATGCTTATTCACATAGCTTTCCAACATTCCACCATTGCTACATGTATATTTACTCCACCTTTGTTTCATTTACTTGCTATTTGCATATTTATTCACATTTGCTATAGCATACTTATAGCACACTTATTGCGTACTCTTTGAAGATTAGAGCAGTAAAACAGTATCCCTTAACCTGTCGTTCGCAGTCGTACGCTAAGTAAATCCACGTCGTCGCTCAACCATCTGTCAGTAATTAGGTTCTCGGTTAATCGATTAGTTCGCCGTCGTCTGTCATCTCGGACTCAGTCAATCGATACGTCGTCCAGCCTTCGCGCCAGTCAATCGATAAGGACCGCGTCGCAGACGCACGCGCCTAATAGGCTAGGGGAAGTCTAGGCCCTCGTCAGTTAGTAGCCGCGTGTCAGCAGGCCCAGGACAACTCGAGCATTCTCAGCGCACACCTACTTCTTCTTCCCCTCAGGGGTGCACCGGGCACCCGGAATCCCGGATCTTTCTTGTTGGCTCTCCAGCAGCGATGCATACACGCCGACGAAAATGAGAATCACGACACGTTCTACCTCTCTGCGGTCTGGCCAGGTCCTTACATATTCACAATTTTTTAGGCCTCTGCGTAATTACTCTGACCTCAACACAAGACTATATCTCTCTAGCCAATGCTCGGGTTTACGCCGTGTTTCTGTGCAAAAAAGTTCAGCATTCTAGGTATTCACGTAACCACTTTGAAGTTTTTGATGTCATTCCTGTTCAAATTATTCTGGAGTTTCGCTTCTCCCCTGACTTGATTTACGCCATGCATTCCCTCTCTCTGTCGGATGTTTCGGTTTACACCATGATTTTCACTGCTCCATGCAGAAACAATTGCTGTTTGTGCACCAGCCAATCGAAAGCTCAACTATCCTTCCCATTTAGAAAATTCCCTACCATTTATGCTTCGTGTATTGTTTTTTTCCTTTCAGGAATATGCAGAATGGAATCCCGCAAAATAGAGGAGGAAGGATGGCGTCACCAAGGGCTGATCTTAGAGCTGAGAGTTTTACAATGGATCGCGATATAACTCCAACAGGTTACACTCTTTTCCAGAATTACATAGATCGTACGATTCCTTCTTTTTTTTATTCATAACGTTGCTATATATGTGGTATCGGCGTGTGTTACATGTGGCTGTACGTTTTTTATGTGAAATTTCCAAGCACACTGCCACTGCTTTCTTTTCTTATACGGCTCTTCATGCTTTGCGAGGAGACATTCCCCGTCTGCAGGTGCACTGCAGCCGGCGAAAACCACACATATTCATCTTTCCCCTCTCCTAGATGGTGACATCTCTCTTCCAGCTTTACAGTGATCTATTAGCCGTTCTCCTAAAACAATCAAAAATTACACAGAGTTTTCAGGTTTGTTGTTTTAGTACTGCTTCGCAATTACATCGAAATACTAACTTTAGTCCACGGGTTTTGAGTGTAATAGACGTACCAAACGTGTGGTTTACACCTATACTGAAGAGCTGCTGCTATTCAGTTCTGCTTATTGGAGGAGTTGCACCGCAAGTGTCATGTAGGCTTTTGCATTGTCTAGAGTTTCGGGCACCGAGTCATTCCAGCTCAGCTTCAGAGTATTCCTCGAAGTGGAAAAACGTGAATTAGGGACAGGAAATGGTCGTCGGTAAAGAAGCGAGAAGGTACGCTTCGGACGAGGCCTGCTCTAGGGTAAGAGAAGGGGAGCTGATTGAGAGATGTGAGGCACACATATGGGCAGGGCCTGGTTTGAGGTGGGCAGAGCCAGATAAAAAAATTTTGGCTCAGCTTCTGAGCACTCTAGAGAGCGGATAAATGTGGATTAGGGAAAGGGAAGGGTCGCCGATTAAGAGATGTGGGGCACATGCTTCTGACGGGGCCTGCTTTGAAATTTTTAATTATCAGACTTATGCGTAGTTACTCTGGAATTTTGGTTATCAGGCTTATTTACTCGATCTACGCCATGCATTCTGCCTCTCTCTTTCTGACTCTACTTACGCCATGCACTCCATCCATCTATTCAATGCCGGGTTACGCTATGCATCCCATCTCTCTATTCCAATGCCGGGTGTGCGTCATGCATTCCATGTCTCTATCCAATGCTGCGGTTTAGGCCATGTATCTCTACAAAAAAAACCCAGCAATTCTGGATGTTTACATATTCACTTCGAGATTTTTGATTATCAGACCTATTCGTATGACTGAAATTTTGGTTATCAGGCTTATTTCTCTAACTCGGTCTACGCCATGCATTCTGCTCTCTCTTTCTGACTCGACTTACGCCATGCACTCCATCCATCTATTCAATCTATCCAATGCCGGGCTTACGCCATTCCATCTCTCTATTCAGTGCCGGGTTTGTTATATGCATTCCATGTCTCTATCCAATGCTGCGGTTTAGGCCATGTATCTCCACAAAAAACTCAGCAATTCTGGGTGTGTACTAAATCACTTTGAAATTTTTAATGTCATTCCTGGGCAAAATTATTCTGTAGTTTTGCTTATCCCTTGACTTGATTTAGGCTATGCATTCCCTCTATCTATAGGATGTCTCGGTTTACACCATGACTTCCACTGCTCCATGCAGAAACAATGGCTGTTTTGCACCAGCGAATCGAAAACTCAACTCTCCTTCCCATTTCGAAGAACTCCTACCATTTATGCTTCGCATACTGTTTTTTTCCTTTCAGGAGTATGCAGAATATTGAAACCCCGCAAAATAGAGGAGGAAGAATGGCGTCACCAAGGGCTGATCGTAGAGCTGAGAGTTCTGCAATGGATCGCGATATAGCTCCAACAGATTACACTCTTTTCCAAAATTACACAGATCTTACGATTCCTTCTGTTTTTTTCACCTTTTCATAACGTTGATATATGTCGTGGTGTCGGTGTGTGCTACATGTGGCTGAAGGTTTTCATGTGAAAATTTATAAGCACACTACCACTGATTTTTTTTCCTTATACGGTTCTTCGTGCTTTGAAGTTTTACTGCCACATCTTTTTTCACCTTTCATAACGTTTGAAATATATCGTGGTGTCGGTGTGTGTTACATGTGGCTGAAAGTTTTTATGTGAAATTTTTGAACTAACTATGCAGTTAGCGTTCCGTTTCAGGATCTGAACGAAGAGCCCGCTCGCAAAGCGGACGAGGCCGACCGCGGATTCATCCCGTTGGCAGGGAGCGTCAAAATAGGCGCGCTGCTGAAGATCCAGTGCAAAGGGCTGCTCGCTTGGAGGCCAACGCCATGCGTCACAAAGAAGAGCGAGAGAAACCACTGATGAGCGAGCTGCGCGAGTAGCAGAGCAGTCACAGCGACAAATCCGTAGACGAGCAGTGGAAACCTCTGAAGAGCGAACAGCACGAACGCAATCGCAGTCAACAAAGAAGCGACAAATCCGTAGACGAGCAAGGGAAACCCCCGGAGAGCGGGCTGCGCGAGTAGCAGAGCAGTGGGAACGACAAACCCGTAGACGAGCAAGGAAGCCTCTGAAGAAAGACGTGTTCGCCTTGCTGACGATGCTGAGCGTCATCGCTTTTTACGCCATCCTCCTTCCAGGCTACTTGGTGCGGCTTTGGGAAATCGTTTCACGGAAAGCAACTACATTGGTAGTTTAACGCACAGATGTGAACCTGTGGCGCCCTTCATTTCCCTTCTGAAGTGAAACCTCAACACCGAAACCTATTCCTTGAATGCTGCGATCTGGGTCGCCTCAATTTGAACTTTTTCGAAGAATTCACTGATGATTTGCGTAAACTCCATGTCCGAGACCCTACTGATACGGCGGAGCAACAGCGTATTCAGCGACTTCATGGAAAACATCAGAACCTTCAACTCAGCTCCTGCAATCCTCTAAGTGGACACGCTCAGATTACGAGGTTCCTATTGCTATCGTAAACAAGGACAAACCATCGCATAGGACCTCTTCATCCACCTGAAGGAGAGCAACGACTATGGACAAATTTACATCTTAGACACTGAGATGGCTGCCCAAAAACGCCTCGGAGACGTAGAAAATGCTGACTGCGACCCGCACTTGATGCGGTTCCTCGGTCAGCTTATCTCTAATGTGAATGCATACGCACAATCATTCAAAATGATGAGTGAAGTTGAGCAAGCCAAAGCTGCTCTCGCAGAGAGTGAGAATCGTCCGCCGGTCACTATCCGCATGATTTTTTAGGAAAGTAGAGAGCGGGGACTCGCTCGTAGGCAGTATGACATTCCAACAGCCAATGAAGTGCCTGTCGTCTATGTAGGAGAAGACGATGATGTCCCTGCTTTGAGAAGTCTTGCAGTTCATTTACCTCGACCGAGAGGAGAGGAATTAATGAACATTCGCGACATCGACAAGATATGTGACCCGCTGACATATCCACTTCTCTTTCCAACTGGACGGTGGAGGTTGGGATCCAAGTCTGTCCAACAACTTGGGTAATCGTATTACTCAGAAACAGTATTACTCCTACTCATTCTCCGTCCGTGATTCCTTCAATCCGATATTACATGCTGGGAAACTCTGCCAGCAGTTTGCCGTTGACGCATACGTCACAATTGAACAGAATCGCCTGAATTTTCAGCGTCAGAATCAGCCAGCACTACGACCTGACTCATACAGAGGACTCCAAGACCACATCGCTGGAGAGCACGTTGCCGGACCTCCAGGACGCCGTATCATACTACCTTCAACACACATCGGTAGTCCGAGGTCATTGCAGCAATCGTTCCAAGACGCCATGGCCATCGTAGCACGCTTTGGTAAACCGACATACTTCTTGACGATGACCTGCAATCCACAGTGGAAAGAGATACAGGAGAACCTATTCGCTGGACAAACACCATCTGATCGCCGAACTGTGCTCCGATCTATTCAAGAAGCATGTGCTAGGCGAAGTGCAGGTGTACGTCTACGTTGTCGAGTTCCAGAAACGTGGTTTGCCGCACTGCCATATGCTGTTCATAGTGAAGGAAGGTTGGAAAGTGCGCACAGCTGATGCGCGCAGAATTTCCCAACCATCTTGAAGAACCGGAACTTCACAACGCGATTACTTCCTATACGATGCACCAGTCGGCTCGCCGGCTAAAGCCGGCGCGCCTCCTTCTAATACTGCCAGCTGCGCTGCGCTCGCCGCGCGTATTTTCCTTCACATATTTCTAGACTCAACTGATATCCGCCTTTTGTTCTGTACTCCACTTTTTTCCGGTGTCTGGAGTGCTCTGAAACTATTTTACAGATTTTTCGTCTGATTCCGCCACTCGAAGCAGGCCGCGTCCCCCCCCAACTTTTGATGCCGCCACAATCCTACTACCGACAATCTGCGCCTGAGCTTAAATTCCACCTTTTCCCGGGTTGCGGAGTGCTGCGTGAAGCTTTACAGACCTTTTAGTCTGACTCCGCCCTCGGAGGCAGGCTCCGCCCACAATGTTTTTGCCCCACAATCTTAACCGACGACCCTCTGCTGAACTTAATCCACTTTTTTTTCCGGTATCTGGAGTGTTCTGGAACCGAGCTACAAACTGTTAAAATGAATACCCTGCCGATCACGGGCAAGCCCGCCACTCTGGAGCGGTCTCCAACACACTTTGAGCGTGCCCTATATTCACCAGATATTTACATTCTACACTGAGTTTTTTGCGACTTCCAAACACTCTCGCGAACCGGGTTACTGAATTTTGCGAGAGCCTTATTCCCTTTTTTCCCCATCTTTAAGCTGCTCTGGAAGCGAATTATGAACATTTTTCTGCGGAACCCCAAACTTTCGGCAAAGTGCCCCGCCACTTGTGGGCTAGGCCAACCGCATAGTCAAGTGTGGCTTTTTATTTCTCACTCATGCGCATATACAAATTCCCCACTTGACCCGACCTTCTCAAGTCGTTCACAGGTGTCGAACACGAATATTCCGGACTAGACTAACAAAGCGCTAGCAAACAAGACAAAACGAAGCGCTTTACTATATAGAGGGTGATAGGGTGATCGTCAGTGTGGCCCTGTAGACCCTCACTCACCGTGTATGCAAGGTGGATTACGCTCTAAGCGATTCCCAAAGCCTTTGCGTCAGAGCAGCGATGAAAGAAGATGGACACCCATTGCTATTAGTGTTGCTCGAAAGTCCTGATTTGAATTGTTCTAGAAAAAGACCAAAAATCATTTTGGATGTTTTTATCCCTGATTAGTGGAGTGTGTCCCCTGGGGTTTCTGCACATGGGTATATCATGACTTTGTGGAAGTTTTCAAAGCTTAAAAGTCCCGCAGAGATCGAGGTACTTTTCGACCTATCCCATATTATGAGTTCCTGTAGGGCAACTCCGCCGTAGTCGAGGAAGCTAACACTTACGTTGTCTTGAGGAAGGATATCGCTTGCCATGGCAGAGGGTAGCTTTGCATCAGCGCTTCTAGGCTGGACTTATTTAACTCGTAGTTAGGCAATGTGTAGGTCGCCCACCAGCACAGAATGACGACCCTTTACTCAAGCTTCTTGAGCCGCAGCCGAAGGTAACCACCAGTAAGTTGGCAACCTCTCTAGGCTCCACCTGCCTGACACTTCAGTTGCCTCCTTCCGCAATCTCGTTATCGGAAAATTCTATGTGAAGGATGCCTCATGAGTTGGACCCGTCTGACAAGTCATACCGAATGACCGCATGTGGGAATCAGGCCACGTCAAAAAATCATGAATTTTGATCAGAGAATGCGACCGTACCCAGGTTATTCAGCAAAGTTAGCGGCCTCTAATTATCACCTCTTTTGGTCCCTATTGCATCCTTTGAAGAGCAAAAAGCCCGAAAATCGACCTCAACTCGAGAATGAGGTCCACCTCTTCTTTTTATCACAGTTGCCGTAGTTCTATGAGAATGGAAATGAGAAGCTGTGCAAAAGAAGGCACTAGTCCTAGGTCATCAACTATGGTTACCTTGTGGATTGGAGATGTCTTTGGGTGACAGAAAATTTAGTGCGAAAAATTTGGTCCAAAGTGTCGCAGGACTTTTCGAACAACCTAATACAAAAGACGCAATCTCTTCCCAACGGAGATACGTGAGTTCATTATAGCGACCAATGGATTGTGCCAACGATCCCATACCCCCATACCTTATTCTAAAATATGACTGTCATCTTAATGTGGGAATTTGTGGAACAATTTCCGCCGTAAAGTCCTCTACATTTTCAAGGGCCCAATATCAACATCGAAAGTGAAAATGAAGCCGATGAAATAAGAAAACACCTCAACACTAGATCCGTTTTCGCACCGCAAAGTATCTACAGAATTTTCGGAATTTCCACTGCAAGACAAATCGCATACTGTGTACAGATTGGCAGTACATTTACCAGAGTTCCAAACCGTCTACTTCGTCGAAGGGAGGGAACGAGATTCTCTGAGTCGTGCGCAAAGAACCCTCACGACCGTAACTGCCTATTTCGAACGCACAAATGGCAAACGATATAGCACGCCCGAATACTTCTATAGACACAAGAAATCTCTACTACTTCCAAATTCCTGATTACTTCACGTTTCATCGTAACCGAGGATGGACACCTAGAGGACGTAGTGGAAAGCAAGTAGGTAGAATGTACACTGTTTCGCCTAGAGACACCGAGAGATACTGTCAGCGAATTCTTCTGTTAAACACTAGAAGAAAGACATCGTTCGCGATTTGCGAACCGTTAATGGAATAGTTCACGAGAGCTTCAGCGATGCGGCAAAAGCGCTGGATTCCTGGATGATGACACCTACCTACAACAAAGTCTCCTCGAAGCAGTGCAGTATCAATCCGCTGCAGTAATTAGAAGTTTCTTCGCGTGCTTGCTCTGCTACTGCGACGTAGTTCACGCTCGAGAGTTGTGGGATGAATTTGCTCACTCAACGTCCGGTGACTACAATTATCAAAGAGTTTATCAGGAGCGTGCTATCTCTCTCGCTTATTTTGACGTTCTCGATAAAATGAGCCTGCTAGGTAAAGATATGGCTCAAATAGTCAGTCCACCTACGCGCGAACGCCCTCCACCTGTTGCTATACCGATTGACTACGACACCCATGAGAGGAACGGCGTTCGCCAGTACGATACGCTCAATGCTATGCAGAAGGAAGCCGCAGATAGCATCCTTTCATCACTGGACGTCACTGGACGGTAATGGGAGCAGATACATTTTCGTTGACGGACCAGGTGGCAGCGGAAAGATGGATTTATATAACACTGTATACAACATTGCAGTTGCAACGAGACGCCAGGTGATGTGTGTGGCTTGGACTGGAATCGCTGCTAATCTTCTCCCCTCAGGAAGAAGTGTCAACTCAGCATTCAAGTTGAACATTGCGGACGAAAACCGCACTTCGTTGATGAGATGACAACAGAGAGAGGTTCCACAACTTATGGTCACGGATATGATCATATGGGATGAAATATCGATGGCTCCGAAAGTCGTTCTTGAAGCCGTCGATGCCCTTTCGAGAGACATCATGCAGAACAATATACCCTTTGGCGGAAAAGTCGTTGTATTAGGTGGAGACTTGAGGCAGTTCCTACCCGTTGTTGAACACGGCCAACAAATTGTTGAAGCCTGTGTTCGCAAATCGCATCTTTGGCCTCTGTTCTCCATTCATCGACTAAACATCAATATGAGAGGTCAAGCCGAAGGAAACACTTAGAAATAATTCCTTTTGGAAATCGGTAATGGCGAAGTGAACGACTCTGACGATCGCATATCAATCCCTGAAGCAGTGCTTCTACTACAAAGCATTGTCACGGAAATATTCGGTGCTGCAATTGATCCTAACAACGCATCACAGCTATGCGAATGTGCCATTTTAGCGCCTATAAATGTTCATGTTCAACATTCAAATGAAGATGCGTTGGACCGCCTTCAAGTGGATAATCCAGGCGAGGAACGGTACTACAAAAGTGTTGACGAAGCAATTCGAATATATGAAGCGCTAAAATGGCACATTCGCATCACAGCTATGCGAATGTGCCATTTTAGCGCTTCTTATATATATTACCAGTCGGCTCGCCGGCGAGCCGACTGGAAGCCTATATATAAGAAGCGATTCGGGTTCGAGGGCATTTATGTGAGGAAGGTTCCGTTCCCCGGCGCTTGGGTGGTCGTAAATGCGGCAGTCCGTGCCGGTGAATACGTCGTGCTTATGCCGCATCCCCAGGTACAATCAGGACGATTGCTACTGCCTGTACCCATACGGCCCACCCTTATTGGTGTCTATAAATAGGCCCAGAAACTGTGAATCGGCATCACTTCCGTGACCAATTTGTCACCTTGATATCCTATCTTCTTGTAACATTTATTGTTATAAATCCCTTATTCCATCCTCTGATATTTTTATTATCAGTCTACCGATATGGATGAATACATAGGATAAAAATAGTTAGGCAATCTAAGTCGTGGAACTGCGACAAGGCACATTTCGTATATTTTCATAAGTTTTGTGGTTTTTACTAAATAACGCTATTTTTGAGCTCAAACTTGGCAACACCCCTCCAAATGTTTTTGGCAGGTGTATCTCCTTTCACAATCAGCAGCTGTCCAGCGATGAAGCTTTCCGGATGATGGTATCCTTTGAAATTCGACTGGAACCTACGCCTTGATCGCTTTTGGATAAAACCCAATATTTTCGTGAGGGTTAATTCGTTCTTATTTTGCACTGGGTTGAAGAGGAACAGGATCAGTCAAGATTTTGTAAGGGCCTACTTTTTTTTACTTTCATCTTCATCCCAATATAAGAAACGCTGGCTACTTGCCCCATGGCTCCTGAGGGCTTCATTAACCACTTCAGATTCTAGCGATGGGGGAACTTTCTATCGGACGTGAGATCCTAAAGGTTGGTGGATGAAGCGTAAAGAATTCGGAAGTGGGAAAGAAAGGAGCAGAGCCGAAAGTTTAGTCATATATTTGCTGCAAGTCGTTTCTGGCACAAACTATAAATTTAATGGTAATTGGATTTTATTAGTGACAAGTAGTGAATGCACTAGTGATCATGGTTGAGGGGTAATCAAAAATGGCGGGCTTCCCAATTCGTGCAAAGTAATGCCTGAGAAAATGAGGTTCAAAACCATGAATAGCACTCATATGCCATTATTTGATCTAGACTTGACAATTTTAGTTCGATTGGATGGCATGCAGAACACGTAAGGTACTGCTGTTATGCTGCTGGTAAATCTGATGGGGTGTCGCAGAATTCGGAACTGTCACACCACTCCCTCAACGATTTCTAGAGAAAGTTTTATTCAAGTTCATTCACAGTCGAGAAAGTGCAAAGAAAACGTCATAATCTAGTCATTTTGAAGAGAACACATATTATTCAAAGAGATTAGCCCACCGATGAGAACACGGTGGGGCAGAAGATGGACATTCTGCAGATCACAAGTGCAATTTGGCGGAATCGAGTAGTCTAGTTAAATTTTCGAGAAGAAAATCAGTAATTATACTCAGTATTGTGAACGGACGAAGGAAATCACATTCAATGGAAAGAAGTTTGAAAGAAGGCGAGCGAGAGGAAAACGCTTCTTGTACTAGAAATCGATTGGAAAATCGATCTAATTGGTACAGAATGCAACATCACAGCATTTTCGATCGACAGCCACGGAAGCAAGCGAGAAATGCAACAGAACTGATCGCTGCTTACGAGATTGACAAATCGCGCTAGGCTTACGTAGAGCTGAAATAGAAGTTCGACCAACACCATCAATCAATAACCTAAGTGATTTGATGCTAAACAGAAGAAACGAGCATTGCTACAGAAAAACAATTATTATTATGACAGAACTGCGTTTTCCTCACCGGGATTTTTACCTACGTTATTGATCAGTGAATTGTACAACTCAGTGAATCGATGAAACAAAGATGCTCAATTACCGTAGTAAATGCCTCAAAAGACATTCGAAATATACAAAACAGAATACAGCAACAAAATTCGTCTGAGAAAAAAACATCAACAAAACGGAGCAGCCTCGATGTACGAAATGTGGATTGCACGGACGCTGTGTGATATCAACCCGCTGGGAACGGAGCCATTTCAAAGAGCGAGACAAGGTCGCTCGCGCAGTGCTCGTCAGTGGGGGCGAAGCGATCCTCTCACTCGGCATGCTGCTGCACGCGGGCGTCGCGCATGTCTGCGCTCTTCTCTACCCAGTATTATGCTAGTAATAACGCATCGAATGGCCCCATTCCCCACATGTCCGTCGCTGCCACCACTACCTCTACCCTGCGGTCATGAAGCGCCCTGTGGCCTTTTGTATGCATGTCGAGTCAACCCCATCGCAAGAAGGACGTTGGCAGGTATGACGTCAGACGTGCCGACAACGACGGCGTCGATGTAGACGATGGCGAAGATGGAGCAGAATCGGGTGTGGCGGTGGCTTGCTGAGTCGTGGCTGCTCCGGCGCACCGTCAACTGGGTGGCTGTGGTTTTTGTTCGCCTGAAATGGATAACTTGCACACATGCCCAACTACTATAAGCAGAGAGGGGAATTTCCTTCACTCACCAATCTCAAGGATTTCCGGATGTCGTTCAATAACACGCATTAAGATACCATTAATATACACCCGCAGTTTTTGATTACAGACTTCTTGTTCACGGAGCGCTTCCAAAATCTGAAAAAAGTGATTCGAACTAGATCACAGAAAAAAAACCAGGAGAAGTCAGAAAATGGATAACAGTTGACAAGGGGAGGAAAGGATGTGAGCAAAAAAATCTCAGATTTCGACCACTAGTGAACTAAAAGTGGGAGGTGTTGATGTGAAGTTCTTAGAGCTTTGCCCATATTTCCATTCACGAACCTGTTGTGAGTCTCCGCCTCCGCTCATGAGTTCGTCAGCCAACGACGGTTCATCGGCCAACAGACTCCTTCCTCGTTCAACACTAGCTGCTAGAAGCTGCGCTTGCAGGTCGTCACGTTCACGCTGCAAATCGCGAATGTCCGCACGGGCCTGCTCCAGCGATTCTTCAAGGCCGCTCATCTGAATGTAGCAATATTAGGTGCGATTTTAAGGGAATCAAAACGTTTGATAACACGATTAAAAGGCACAGTCCACGCAGACATCATGGGCGGGGTGATGCCTGAATTTCCTGACTCCACCCACGCAATCAGCATGCATTGTGGCTGAATTCGATAAGTGAGAAACACAAAGCTGAACACTGCGCGCTTTGATTTGGAGATTCCGATGCTACATTGAGATTGCTCTGGCTCTTTCGCTTTCACTGAATACTTCCAAAAGAATCTCTTAAAATCAATCCAACCTGCTCGATTATCGATCCTTGTCGTGGCGCACCATTTCGCCGTAATTCCTCGGTCTGTTGCGTGAGTACTTCAACCATTTCCGAACTGCTGTCGATATCCTGTTGAGCTTCTTCTTTGAATCTGAAGACATGAATAATTTATTTTTAAACATATCGCCATGTGGGAGCCCTTACCCATCATTATGAATTCTTATTGGCAATTGGCAGCCTACAATGGGTACCAGACCACACCCACCCTACAACCACGACCATTCCTTGCTGAGCCCTTGCCGTCAACCACGTTCATCTAACACTGCCTCATTAAGTGACCGCAGGCAGACAGACAGAATAGGTTCGTGACTGTGTCTCGCTCCTGGCTGCACTCCCCCTCCCCCTTCCCAGCCCTCCCTCCCCAACTACTTCGGCGCCTGGCTGGCTAGTGCAGACAGCACTACTGCAAGTCGTTAAAGAGGGGGGATAGAGGTTTCTCGATGCAACCCATGACGTATGTGATGAGGTAGAGACCGTGTAAGCAGAGGAGGAGAAGTGGCCCATCAGGACTAGCTGTGTTAAGAGAGGGTCTTAGTGGTGCCACCCACAAGAACGCTACTGCATTATCAAAGAGATCATCCTCCGAGAAAGACTTGCCTTTTGAACTGTCGCTCCAGTTTGATTCGCTCATCCTCAAGATCTTCAATGAGCAATTTGCTTTCTGCCAGCTGCCCACGAAGATCCTCGACAGCTTCAATATGTCTTGCCGTCTCCTCCCGAGCCTTTTCTGCCTCTTTCCTGGCCGAGTACAAATCCTTCTCGAGCATCTGGAAACCACCACTCAAACTGTGAAAAATTGAAGGTCATGTGACCAAAATTAGACGCTGCACTCACCTGATATTTCAGTGATAAGCTCTCATTCTCCAGTTGTTTTTCGCGTTCAACACGTTGTAATAGCTCTCGCGTCCGGTTTTTCTCCTCTTGGAGCTGTTCACGGAACCTTAATGAACAGTAATGAAACTATGTAAAAGAAAGAATTGATATGCCTGTTCTAAAATGGATAGCCCGCTACCCCTATGGGGCTGCTCATGAGACGAAATAGTAAAATTTCCACGGAATTTTTTTTTCGTAACTATATACACGTGATAGCAGGACGTATTGCCCAGGTCCGCCCACATGGACGAGTTCCCTGTGCGTACCTTTGCTCGGCGACTAACAGCTGTTCTTCAAGCACGTGGACACGTTCTGTTAGGACGGCATTCTCCGTTCGTAAACGACCGCGTTCATCATTGCTGTGCAACTGCTGCTCCTCCATCTCGGACAATTTCTTCGAGATCATCGTCACCTAAACGCCAAGGAATTCAGCTTTTGAGAGTAGTTATTACAGGAATTTTCTAAACTTTCGCTCAGATATTATAAAATAAATAATCGAGTGAAGTAGTAAGAGATTAGAACATTTTCAGTGCTTAATTTGGCTAACTATTTAACAATGAACTGAAGGGATTAGGGATAAAACAGCCGGTCGTTTCTTGGAACCATGACATCAACTTCTGTTCAGAATCGTGGCGTAAGCAAAGGATCAGGTTCAGCACTTCTTCGCGGGACCATGAGGAACGTAGTGGCGTCACTTGCCACTGCTCTGCCTGTGCCCATCACTGACACTTATATGTATAGAAAGGCTGAAGGAATCAGCCCCAAGGGGGAATCAGTGACTGAAGTGGAGGAAAGGAGAACCTCAGCGTAACTTGTTCGGTATAATTACGGCCCCGTCATAAGCAAGTTTTTGAGGGGATTCCTGGCGTTGATGAATAGGATTCCTACCAAGTAAGTATTACCGTACCACGGCAACACACCGTACGTTGGCAATTGAATCAGAAAAACTCTCATTTACGTTGTAGTTCGCCAGCGAATAATAATCGTAATTATGCTAACTGCATGACAACGAGTAGTTATGTGGTTTTGTACAGCTTATTCGCTGCGGATGAAGAGGCGGTCAGAAGGGATAAGTATGACGCGGCACCAGACGTTTTCCATCTGTTGCTGAAGCGGGCAAGCATAAGGACTGTGCTATATGTTTCGTAAAAGTCGTTTCCGAGCAGGGGTGGTGTAGCGGCAGGCGGCACACTTACCACGCGCACGGTCCGATGGTCGAATTCTGGTTCGGCTCCCGCCTCGACCAACCAAGCCTTTCAACCTCTAGGGACTTAAAAGGTTCAACCTGCGACTCTGAATGGAAGAAAACGTGCCGCATCTCATGAAGCGATTGATCAACGGCGATTATCCTTCGTCCTTTTATCAGTTGTTTTCCACCAGTTGTTGTCGCTTATCCGCTTCCACAATGGATGGAATAGGGGCTCGGCGCAGCACCAAATCCATCTCGCCCGACACGCCCATTCATCCGCAGTGAACAAGAGTATACGATCGACACCGCATGACAAAATTTGATGAGACTTGTATAGTTGAAAGCATAGCGGCCAACAGAGTCCAGATCACAAGTACTTATTAAGAAGGGCATCTCAAGTTATTTTGACGGTTTATTTCCACAAAAAATGAAGGGATATCGATTTCAGGCAAAACTAAGGGGAAAAGCTCTGTCGCGGGTGAATCACTGAAAAACACTTGTGCTGATTTGAATTTGTGGCTCGAAATGCTTTGGCTGCTCTGCGCTGAAATTGTCCACTCATCCGATTAATATTCAAAACGGCGACATTTTTGATGGGACTTGTTGAAAATTCTGCTTTACTTCGAACCAAAATGAAATCAGAGGTATAGGGGGGAACAGTGCAATGCCTCAAGGAAGCCAGCTGGTGGGTAAAGCTTCGCTTCCATCTTTGACGGCATCAAAATCGAGTAATCAACCTTCAAGAGAACGCAGGCTACGTTGGGTAGGGAACCCAGTCGAGTCAAGGAAGTGTGAATCCATGCTTCTAAGCCAAACTGGTTATTGAGCTGTGTTCGCCTCATCAAACTTAACACGATAATTACCATCTTCCAACGGCATAAAGTTGATCGAATAAGCGAGAAAGATGAATGGTTTGAAAGAGGCCCAGAAGCATGTCATTGCGCCGACGAGCCAAAGGATGCTGCTGTGATAGCGAAAAAGTAGCGGTGGTGTTATCAAAGAGCGGTGATACGAAATTGCGCCCAGTCATGTGGCGCGCCAGACAGACTTTTTCCCCCATGGGAATCGCTCGTGAATGAAATGACTGCCAACGGGCCTAGAAACAATTGAAAGCCACGAAAAAGGGCATCAAACCAGTATTGCTATAACCTTTTCCTTATGAAAAAAAACCCCAAAGAGGGGGTGCGAAGCGGAACACATACGCAGCGGTGTAGCGCGGAAAGCAGCGGAGTATTTCCTAGCTAGTTGACCTGACGTACTGCACGTCAAATCAGTCCGGTCCTGGAGCAGGTGCCGCGCGGGCATCCGCCGGAATGCTCGAAAAGGTCCCCCACCCATACGAACAGCGTGCGATGTGCCAAGCTCACTCGATTTTCCGCTTCTCCCAAGGCATCCACGCATACCCATAGAAAGTCTGCTACCAAACTATGTTGATTAAAGGGATATATCGAATGATCTGTATCGATCCACCGGCGACATCAACGCAACGCAGCCGCTCGCGTGCGACCAATTCTAACTTGGTCTTGGGATTTCCAGGGGACGAGTTATAGAAAACCTC